GCAACTCCGTTTCCAATTCAACTGCCCTCGTTATGCCGTCACAAGAATGCGCTCGTCGCCGGAACCTTGTCATCCCGTTTGCCGCCATAACACTTGCCGATGGCTCCCGTGCCGTGTACGTGTGCAATCCGTTCCCATGTCCCGCTACTTTATTGCATGGCGAGTGTATTGAGAGTCTTGACACTTATGATGACATCTTTCCTTTCGATGCCCGTTCTGATACGACACCGATGTCCGTGGATGCTGTCACAGCTGGCACCCCGCCCTCACTACCTGACGAAGACGTTCTGTTGCGCAGCGTAGACACCGGCCTTACGCAAGACCAGCGCAATCAGCTCATTCAACTACTTGACCGTTTCCGCGCCTCCTTCAACCACGGACAACCTCCCTTGGGACGCACGTCAGTTGTCGTTCACCATATCGGCACCGGTCATCATACTCCAGTTCGTCAGCGCCCCTACCGCGTCTCGCAGGCTGAGCGTGACGTCATCACTCAACACGTCGACAAGATGCTGCAACGTGGCGTTATTCAGCACTCACACAGTCCTTGGGCTTCACCAGTGGTCCTCGTGTGAAAAAAGAATGACTCTATCAGGTTTTTCGTGGATTATCGTCGACTAAACAACATCACACGCAAGGATGTTTATCCCCTGCCCCTGGGATTGGGTTTATCCCCTGGGATTGCTGTCAATGAGCCACTGTCAATGAGCCACTATGCTGTACCATTCAACACGTCTCCGCTCAGTGGAATGGGTAGCCTCTGAAAGGTGCGCATTTGCACAGAGATGCTGAGTCACTACATTTCTGAACAGCCCACTTCATTGGAATAGTAACTAAACGATACGATGTATACAGGGAAATAGAGTTGCAGCCAGAGTGGTGTATTGTGTGGAGAGGTGCGAATGCGTACCTCTATTTTAGGGTCTCTTTCGAAAAAGGCCATTGCTTGATGTATACGTTCTATATAACTAGTATATCAAGTAACGGCCTTTTTGACACCAAAGAATCAAACATATCTACAGAAATTGTGAGTTCTTTGATGTTGTGGGCTCGTCATTATGACACGGCAGGAGAAAAAATGAGCATATCAGATTTATGTGTGTGTATTTAATGACTCCCAAGTTAAGTAAATACGATGAAGAGAAAATAAAAGCATTATTAGCTCAATCAGAACAGCTCCAGGTGATTATCGTCGCTGGCCGCGTTGTTAATGGTTCGATTGCCGGAGGGTTGGGTTTCCTTTCTTTTGCATTTCGTAGCGTCCATCTCATCAACGTCATATTTGTGACGGAAATACATCATAGAATTTTGGTGGACCTCGGCATAAAACGCTTTCGTGGTGAAACAAACACCGTGGTTGCTTATTTTATCAACATTTCGTACAAGCTAAAGTGGGTGGTTGAAAGTATACCTGCGGTAAGCCGCTAAGGACGTACCAAGCTTTCCAAATTCTCGAGAATGGTCAAAGAATATGAATGCCGAAACTAAGAAAAAAATGGAACTAGTATGTACAACTCACGGAATATATTTTGTACACTCTCAGCTGCGTATTATTAAAATTGCGGTTGCGTAATTTATTGCAAAGTGCCACAACGGGTTCTTATTGAGATCAACCGAATCGTAAAATTATGAAAGCTTTCTAAATGTAAAGACCAAATTCATCCTCTTATGTACGTCATCTGCTATGCTGTCAGAGAATCACGTTTAGTTTTCATAGGGACTTGCTTTCTACGCAATATTAGCTTGATCATTGTAATGATATTTACGTCCGTATTTCTTCGATTTCTTCGCGTAAAACAGGTGCTGTTTTGTGGCTGAAAAGATTAATCTTGAGTAGTTAGTGCGCATTATGACCATCTCTGCATTTTTTTTATTTTGCGTTGCTACTACGCGCTATTACTATGCATTGTTCTCTGCGCTGTCAGTTGCACCAAGCTACTACTCAACCTGCGCAGGCAATCATGAAACATGACGCTTGGGCTTTGGCACCGAATACACAATACAGAATCCTAATGTTCGGCATACTGATTGAAAACAATATTTGCGATGTTTACAACCAAATATTTATTTACTGACAACAGTCTTCAATCAGTTTTAGTGCACTTGGACGATGTCAGAAAATGCAAAGCATCAATGAGCATTTAGGTATCTTGCCCATCATCTTCAACCATAAAAATTTGATTACAGTGATTAGTTTAAATCGTACACAAATGTGCGAGCAAAACTTCCCACATTCGATTTGATATGTTTTGATATTTCTTTGATAACATAGTAGAGGCTCAAGAAATCACTCTTTTTTTAAATATTTACAGATGGATTCGTTTTGAGGAGTCAGCACGCTGAGAAACCGAAGAAAAACGCAGCCATATTTTACATTAGAGTATCTGTCTCTTTTCCCCAAAAAATCAATTCTAGTTTGTTTCCCGCAATCATATCCTCCGTTTTCTGCTGCCTTTCCTCCTCGCCCGCGAGGCCTGGCAGCATGGGCGAGTTGTGACCCCAACCGAGACGACTCACGTCCCGTGTTGGACGAAGATTCTTCAATCGACATCGAACAGGGGCAACACGACCACAGCACACCAAGTGACAGGCTTGTTTCGTAAAGCTGGCGTGAGCGGATGACTATGATGTCATCGTATGATTCACTAATTTATTATAGGCTGTTTTTACTGCTTTTTAGACAATAGGACACTTTGAAACGTATTCTCCTGAAGGCCGTGGTGTCGAAACATTCAGGTGGCACGAAAAAGCAAATGACTTTATTCTTATACAATTTCATTGTTCGAGGAGAGAAAGTAGGTCGCTCAATTTATCCACTACAAACGCACATACAAAATATACAGCTGCGACAAAAAATGCGCTGAGAAGCAGTTGTATAGCACTGATTTGTGAAACTTCTTGAAAGATTGGTAGAAAAGTACGAAAAGCGTGCTTATTGGTGTGCATGCCTACTAGGGTACAATGAGCTGAACAATAAACAGAAAGCACAAAGTGAAAACTTTGCAGACATGTAAGAGAATGGAAATTGTTTTTTTTTTTGTTGAACTAGCTGATGGAGTAAAAGCTTTGGCATTTTTACTATTAGGAAAATATATGAAATATATAGTTCACGACAAGCTGCAATGGCATAACAGGAAATCACGTTAAAACTTAGCTTCTTAGAAATCGCCAATATATTGAAATGATAGCTCACATCACGTTGCACGGTAGTACTACTTCGAATAGCATAAAAGGACGCGCATGCTGACTGAGCGCGTCCTTTCATTCTGTCATCTCATTTTTCCATGTTACAGTGAAGCCCGTCTTCTCGGTCATGCTTTGCGTGGCACGTTTGGCAGTGACTCTAAACGTTCGCTTCACGACCATGCCTAAGCATGCTACTGCTGCTCTGTTTAAAAATTAAGCCATCGGTGTATTACTAGGCTGCTACACAGACCCTTCGTATAGGGCATGATATTGGCAGTCCGGCTGCAGTGGCAATAACATTATCACCCCACGCAACCTGATGAAATAGAAGAACCTCAAGTAGCCTTCGCACTTTACTGAGTGTCGAATGCTACAAGAAAAAAAAAACTCCAGCCTACCGTACAGACTCTTAGCCTATATAATAGCGTGGGTTACATCCCTGGATATTTGATTCGTCGAAAGAAGGTTATACGTTATGAGTTGAGCTCGACGCAATTGTGATCACTGTTTTTCCGCAACATTGTCATTATCTATAGTAACTTGAATATACCCTGAAGACACTACACCACCATGACCTTTATGAAAGCATTCTGTGGATTTCGTGATGCCGCGATTTCAAATGTGGCACCGATGAACTTGTAAACTTGTCCACAGCCTGCATTCAAGCCACGTTCGCGACATCCCTGGCTAACCACGAAACCTTGTTCGCTGGATTGGTGAACCATTTCCACACTCTCTAGAGCTAAGCTTTACAGCAGGCGATCAAAAAGAAAAAAGAAGCTTGAACCAACAACCTAGGTGAATTACGTGCGCACTTCAAGAGTAACCAAAGTTTGCTGTTCGGTTTCACTAGAAGCAATAACTTCGCAAGAGTGTCATGTAAGTTGTGCGAGGCGAAGCTAGCATATATTGGCCGCGATGTATACGAGCGTTTGATCGAACTTGTCAGATGCGTACATAGTGGCTATTGATTCGCTGTCGTAAGATTGTCAGTAGCAGGAAATACACGCAGCGGCGATTCGCAGTCGTGAATCCTGATAACGGCATTTGTAACTCCATTACATGCTCAAGCGTGTCGTGCTACCATTTCGTAGCATTGTCTGGTGCGCTCACTGGTAGTGGTCCTGTCATGAAGTGACTGTTATGAGCCACAATGATTTGTGCGACGCCACTGATCAACAACGCACGGCAAATTCTATACATTGGAGTTGTACATAGCACACATTGACAAAGGCTACGGGAGAAATGGTACCGGTACACGCAAAGGATCATGGTGCATCAATATTCAATAACCACTTGCTGAAACCAAACTAAGACCGTGTGCTTACCTATATGGCTATGTTCATAAAATACCGGTGAGTCGCCGCTATACAGGCTACACCGGGACAGAGTGCTGCTTCGGGGCTGTGAAACCATCGCCAATATTCCGCTCTATGATGATGAGATACAAATGGTTGTCTGAAAGGAACACTGCTGCGTGTGGTTGTCTGAAGAAAAAAAACACTCACACTACGACCGGCCTCAGACTCATGTCCTGGTTTATGCGTGTAAAACCTCAGCGCTGGAGCTTCTCATTGTTCACATTGGGTATAGTCGCCCTTGAAAGAGGCCAGTTACTCTTTACAGACTGCGTAGAGTAAGCAAGGTTAGAAACAAAATTATAAGCTATAGCTTTTCTCAAAACAGTGAAAAGTTACATGAACGCAGAGAAAACTGAAATACTGCTACCGCTTTATTAGTTGGACTGCAATGAAATATTTTAAAACATATATCAATAATAGCGAAGAAGAGTTACATCATTTTCTTTCTTCCAGATTACGGCCAATCCATGATGCATTCATTGGTTCTGACATTAGGGATATGCGGATTCCTCGTGAGTATGCACGTAAACAGGAGAAAACTAAGGTTTCGTATTTCTATATTACAATTTGTAGCTCATATTATTTATACATAGGTCGTCTGTTATAGGTTGTAACTGCATCCATATTGTACACGTGTATGTATATTGCTCACACGTTAATGAAACGATGTTAAGAAGGTGCAATTTTTTAAAATTTCATCACGAGCAATGTAATTCCTATAGACAAGGCACCTATAACTGAAAACAATACCTGCTACACGGCGGCATTAAGCATTCACATCCTGGCGCAATATTACCTGCCGCCAGAGAAACGAGCATTGCTACTATTTAGCCTGCTACACATTGCTGCGCAGAATAAGTGTGTTGCGGCAGTATCTGTACCACAGTGATCTGTACACAGTCCATATGGCACCTCAAACGTTCGAGGCACGCTGCAGTGCACGCAGCAAGCTCAATATGATAGCATATCAGTAGTGTTTAATAAATCAAAGTTATTAGCGCAAATAAAATATGTATTTTTTCAGCCCGTCAGCAGTTATATGGAAAACAAAATAAGGAAGGGTGCATTTTCGCTTCCACTATATTATATAAACAAAGATAGCAAGAGTGGCGTTGTTAGTGCTGATAACTACGACGTGTAATGCAAGCTCTCTGAACAAAACCAATTGATGCGAAAAAGTAACATGTTTTGTATTATTTCTCTTTTACACAGTTGGCCGTCACACAAGGTGAGTTTAACAGCGCTTCATTTCTAACTGATCTGTTTCCACATATTTACCACCACTTCAATACAATGGTAGAAATTGAGCATCAGTTGCACAGGCGAACCATTGTGTACCAAACATATAAACATCGGTTTCAATAAACTCTGTAATCCCACACAAAGGCATGCATACGGTTGTTTGCTCCTCTTAAAATATCCCCACCAATACACATCAGAAGGTCATAGAACTCTCGCAGTATAGTGACAATGTATTTCGAACAGATAACTTGTACACTATCCAGCAGTTCTTAAATTGGATTTTGCCTAAACTATTTATTTGTCGCGAGAGTGGGATATCTTATCATGAAGGAACAAGCCAAATTAAAGTTTATGCAGTGATATTTGAACGTTTACACCATCAGATATAGATATTATAGGGAAGGTAGAACTTTGGTGCTATGTACGCTAATGTGAAATTGTGGTGACTATTATCCCATCAGAAACTCGCACTTGGAGGAGCCTAATCCATGTAATAAGAACAATCGATGATCCATGCTTTCTTTTGGTGAAGAAAAAAGGCTCATACTGCAGTAATAAAGAATGTGGCAAAATAAACATGTCATGCAACAGCAAGTGCCCTTTACCCCAACGGAGCGTTTACCTTAGTCAAAAGTCTCAGCAGCAACTGAGTCATAGCTTACGCGTCGTACAAAGAATACCTACATTCTCACTTCTCGCATTATATTGTCGCTGGTGGACGCTGACTGGAATTCAATGAAACAGGTCATTGCACTACTGGGAGCGTATATCTGAAAAAGAAATATTAACGCATAGTTGAGGCAAAAGCGAGAGTGCCGGGATACGCATTTCTTTCAAAATTCAGACACACCTTTTCTTTACCAAACGTTCTTCAAGAAAAAAAAAGTTTTTTGAACATATGAGTGGTTAGCGTGCCGCAAGGTCACCAACGCATAGCATTGTACCCAGGTTTTGCTACTGTCGCAAATGATCCTCAAGCTTATCCTGCCTACGGAATGGGAGGGCAGCGCACGCCAGGAAATCTTAATGACAGAGGTAAGATCTTCCATACAAACAAGATTGTAGTTTACCGCTTTGTTGAATTGGTGGTATGCGACGTGCGGCCTTTTATTAAAGCAATATTAAGGAAACCTACTGCATTATTTCATATGAATATTCTTCTTTAATTGAGTACTGAATAATTTATAATAACTACAATTTTTTGTTTTGTACGCCGATGGAGTACTGAGTATTTGTCTAAAAATGGGCTTCATTCGCTTGGAAATACAAAGAAATATATTATTCTTTGATACTGCAGTGGCTGTGGGCTAGGTTGAGAGCATTGAGGTAGCCACAAAACTAGCTTCAGTAGGTTTTTTACCCTAACGATTCCGCATGTATATATCGCTCGGCCATTCAGTGTATTCCAGTCATTGTTAGTTCAACACATACCGTTGTATCCAGGTTTCGCTACTGCCGATGATGTTCCTCAAACAATTTCTCCCTATGGAGTGGGAGGGCAACGCACGCCAAGAAATCTGAAGCACAGAGGTGAGATCTTCCATAGCGGTAATTTTGTCACACATTTTCTTAGTATATGAGAACTGTAACGGGTAAAGTGAATTTAATCACAAATAGTAAGAAAACAGCGTGAAATAACCATTTATGGCCCTCCGAGTATTATTGCTCGGTTCACAACGCATAAATATTTCATTCTCCTTCTACAAAGTATCAGCTGCTGGGTTACCATGATTGATCAAGATATGTAGTATCAAGCCAGGAGCGCTTGTGGGTCGCACTATACACAGCAACTCTTGAAGTTTACAGTCGTGCTACAGAATAAGTTCCTTAAGCTCGATTATGTTGGACCCAGAAGGACATATTATTTGTAATAATTCACTTTGCTCATCGTTCAGAATACATGAAGGAATAAAAGTTATCGTGCTATTTTACTTAAGTATATGGTCAGTGTCCCGTTCCCCACGAAATGTACTCTAAAGAAAGTTTCCTTTGAGTAGTTTTCCTGAGTCACGACTGGCTACGTATATGACTTTTATTAACGGCACAGGTGAACACTTTTCGGAGAATTTTATACTCGTGTCAGAGAGTTCTCGAACCTAAAAGTGAGCTGATGTGCACCTTTATTCGGTATCATTTACATAACAACTCATGATTTACTGAAAAGAAAGACTATTATTTTTAGACTGAAGAAGCTGGCCACCAGACGATATACTTTGGCAGCTCCAACTCGAAGATACTTGAGGCCTTAAATTCATCAGCACTAAAAAATTGAGTGGCAGCGTCATAATCGTCTGTCAAGCTATGCGTGTGCGATATTGCTACACAAACTATTTTACCCTGAGCAGAAATTGAGGTGTTGATGGCATTCGTTCTAAGCGAAATATGAGCGTAGGTTTTAGTCTTAAAATTCCACTTAATTCAAAAAGGAAAAGTACGGGTGTAAGGTGCAATTTGATCCATGTATTGTGCGTGCCTAGCAACAATCAAGTTTGCTCGTTATCTGTTTGTCATTGAATGTAGCGCTCTTTCATATAAATGTGTGCAAGCAGAAAAAAATGTGGCTGATCCCTGTTTCTAGAAATAGTTAAAGCACGAAAGTGAAACATGTCTTTACAGATGTAGTTGAGCCCTTATTGTGCATTGCTTCGCCACTAGGTCGAATGAATGAAAGATACAGCAATAAATTACAATGTCATGTGAAGGACAGCAAGCAGCAGCGGCTCGAAGCTTGCAGCGAACACCTGAAGTAGGAAGCGCAAACGAAATGAGCATGCACAGGGCTAGCGTGAACTAACAACTGTCACGACTCGGCACATAAAGCGCGCTGTATAAACAGGAAGAAAGGCGCAAGAAACGAACGCACATGTGTAGACAGTACATGTGTGAAGAAATGTCACAATTCCTAATTTTTCGTGTGTGGGCATCGCACTTGTTTTGTAAATGCGCCCGCGGCAGCGAGCGAAGTGACCTTCATGCTATACCGAATCACGACTGTGATGAGCGCGTGCGCAGGCGAGACCACGCTCCATGGAGCCGACGCTCTTCGAACTGCGAGAGGCGACAAGCTTTAGAACGGGCTTAACTTGCGCTCGTCGTGCCATCTCCTTACCGATGACGGAAACGCGCTGAAGCTGCAGAGCTCGGAGAACCACCAATCGGTACATGGTGTATATAAATGGCTTGCCGTTAGCGCTCCTCATAGATGCGCATTTTGGCGTAGTGGTTAGGGCTGCGCGCTGCTGTTCGAGAGGTCATAGCTTCGATGCCCCGAAGCAGATACATTATATGTTGCTTTTTACAATCTAGTAATATAATTTTGAATGCGTCGTCTACGTCATGAAAATCCGTTGGCTAAGCTGCGGGGAACCCTGGCATAAAACACTTTCCTGTTAAAAATATTTCATCGAGGTGTGTGCTTTCATGGTGCCACGAAGTCGCGATTTATATTTGCTTTATTAAGTGTTGGTCTGCCTAGTATTATCACACAAGCATAACAGTGACATTGTCACGTAGAAATTGCCACTGGGGCTCCCTAGAAGCAATGAAACGCCACTATATCGCTTTACGTCAGCACATCTGCACAGAGTTATATTTTTTATTTATAATAGAATTACACTCCACTCGATTAGGCTCGAAAATTTATATCATTGATACAACTATTTATAACTCTAGGCTCGCTATCTGATACTTTATTTTAAAAGTTGCTTTACGACAGCTCTTTCTCTTGTTAATTACTCTGGCAGGCAATAGTGTTGTAGTAGTCGTAAGCCTAAAACCTCGAAACATATATTCATTACATTTTATCCAGGTTCTGCGAGTTTGCAAAATATGTTTCAAACGAAGCCTGGCTATGAATAGAAAGGAAAACACGTGGCTGGAAACCTTAATTCACATCACGGTTAGGAGATCTGCAGTAGAGAATTTGTTTTTTTACAATGCCTTAGAATCATCGAACTGTAACGAACGGTTCACAGGTGATTACAAACAATTCAACGAACTATTCGTAGGCCTATGAACATAATTGTTCCATCTGTATAACGTATATATACTGCATGCTGTTTCTATTTCACACCCTCGAATACGTAACAATGATTGGTGAAAATATGTCATATCAATTCGAGAGCGCTTGTGACGAAAGAAAGCTTTTACTACCACTTTCCTACAATTAGGAATTTCTTACGCTCAGTTAGGCAGAAGCTAGGCATATAAATTACTTCTGATGATGTACTCATAATGACAATAATGTTCCTCATTAGAAATATGTAAATAGACAGGAGTTCTTGCACTGAGTTAAAATTTCTTGCTTGCACGGAGAGCTTAGGGCATTGTCATACCTAACAAAGACCTAATTTGTGAAATTTATGGACAGTGCCAAGTTGCGTTGGGCATGCAGTCTCAGACAAAAAATAAAGAACTTTCCTTTGAGTCATTCTTGTGAGTCGATTTGCCTTGTATATGACTTTTTTATATACGTACGGGAACCCTCCTTAACGATTCTTATACTCTCTTCGGAGAGTCATGGTACCCGAACGAGACTTAACGTACACCTTAAGCCAGAGTCATGAACATGATAAATTGGTATTTACTAATGGAGTGAGCACATACTCCTTTTTTAGAGTCTAGAAGCTAACTGATTACCTATATTTAGACAGATCCTGCTGCCAGTAAGTCGGAATTTATGGGTGCAAGACCTAGCAAGAGAGGTATTAGATGTGCAGAACATTTTAGCAGACATATAGTGCTGGTCTCTCACCTTTGCATGTGTGTGACATGACTACACGAAGTATTTTAACAGTTAAGTAATCCATAACGTAGAAATCATGGTATGGGCAGCGTTTGCTCTGAATAGAGTATAGGCGCGGTTCTTGAGGAAAAACATCTACTCGATGCAAAAAATAGAGTCGGTGTATAAGTAACAGTCCAGGTCATGTATTGCATGTGGCAGTGAAATATGCTACTACAAAGCCTTCCCAAAAGTTCGGAAGTACTTTCAGTGAAGACCCCGTATATGGTTGTGTGGACCAAGGAGGTGTTAAGGTATTTACTTTTGCGTAGTACAAACAAATAATTAGGCCCAGTTTTACAGCATGTCAATTCTATGATGCCATAAAAAAACATAACATTCAGCTTCTGGCATAGCGTGTGAATTACGTAGCTTTTTGGCATGCGAATGAGCGTCTTGGTAAGGCCGGTACAAATAGGTGATTCAAACCTCAGAACCAGTTACAAATGGCGCCACTTTAATCCCTCACCATCATCTCTATTTAAAGCATCAACAAGGGGATCTGCTACGGTAAGGCCAGCATTCCTTTTCCGACAGATATTCGGTAACTCGCCACCATAATTGCAGTGCGCGCATCGAAAGATTTTACATATGAAATCCTAATGTAGTGAAACACTTTAACTTGAGCTATTCAGCGTTGTCTGTGTGTTCTGCGTGATCCTTCGAGGCAGTTTCGGCGGTACAATCTAACAGAATGCCGAATGAACTTGTTTACAAATGCATGGTTTTGACATCTAATATGAATCGAAGTATGTGTACCTGAGTGTTCAGTCAGCAGACCTTGAGCGACTAAATTACTGAAGTCAATTTTACATTGCCTCATCATGAAATTGAACTTTTCCTTGCAGGTACTCATAATGTGGTAAATATAACGGAGAAGGCACGAACATTAATTGAGTATATGAATAGAACATGGCACGATATCTCTTCGTGGGGAATGACTTCAGATTACGCCTTCTGGAAAGGCAAGCACAATGTCTTCGGACAGTGAGTGAACCAAATACTCTACTACCTATTAAAATAGTCAGGGCTTGTTACACTGACCAAGCGCAGATTTAAAAAGAAAAGCTTTCATATTTTCCGTTGGCTCTATACTAAATGCGTTACTCTACTGTTTTGAATGGACTGATATGTGGGGCTTAACTTCTTTAAGGCACCGCATAATTATGAGAGACGCCGAAGTGGAGGGCTCTTGAAATTGGCACTGTATTCAAACGATAACAATTTCCGAAAGTGCATTTTAGTCTATGAAAGGATGGTTTTTCTCTTTTTTGCCGATTGTAATTCTTCTGAGAAGACAAGTCCGAAGCACCAAAAACATGAGCATGGTAAAAGTTAAAATTTCAAAATACGTACACAAAAGGAACGCCTGAACAATCAAAAACACAACATGAAGACATATAAGTTTCCTGCGCAGGGCTGCTTATCTGTAATTTTCAGAGATTCATTAAATAACGCATTGCTATTCTACGGTGAGAATGAGTAGCTTGAAAGCAGGATGTATAAATGAAACAAAATGAGAAGTGACACCGAAACGTAGTTCCTAACTTTCGCTCAATAAGTGAATAATAAAATTGTTCACATGTTGGTCACTGGAGTTTATGAGAGGTGTATCATTAGAGCATGTCGCTCTAGCAAACTGTTTCAGAAGTGCACTCATTGCTGGCTGGCAACGGGACGGACAAATCCTCCCGTGTAAAATTTATTTGAAGTCACATTGCAAATCTTGCAAATTCTGTTACTTAGATTCTCCAGGTTTATCTCGCCTTGCGTCACGTGCTAAGCCAAAAGAGCCTACGTAGTTGAGCCTACTAATTTCGCTTTAGTGCTCACTTCTGGTTCACAGGCTCAGTAACAAGAATTACATCTGAGAAGCAAAATACAAAAGAGAAGTGAGAAACTCAGTGCTGTTTCCCAGTCGTAGTGCTTTCTTCGTTTAGTACTATAGGGCTACTGAGGTGAATGCAGAAAATTAAGGCAGCCTCGCACTACAATCCTGAAAAAAAAGGGTAATGCTGAAACAAAAAAGAGTTTCTTTTTCTTGTTGGCTTTCGGTCTAATACTCGGTCTTTTTTGCCACTGTTTCTTTATTCTTGTCTCTTGCTGTGCCTATTTCCTTCTCTTTCTACATTTTTCCCGCTGTTTCTATACTTATATACCCAACTTCATCTTTCGTTTACCACAATTTTGTGCGGCGATCCACCAACATTTCGTTGACAAAATTTCTTCAGGAAAATGACGTCTGAAATTAACATTAAGAAGGCAAAAAAAAAACATTTCGCCAACGAAAGTTGAACTTACAGCCTCTCAGTCGGCGCCCACTGTTGCCGTGCTCGCTATACAGTGTGTCTTGGTCACATAGTTCGTAGGCTATAAAACATGCCTTTTATATCTACCACTACTCTGTCACAGTTCTCTTCGTAAAGTGTAATAATGCGTCATGACCGAGGAATCAGTGATTATTCTCTAAATCTCGTCGTTTCAACGTCTCCGTTATATTCGTGGCCTTCCAATGAAAGTGTAATTTTGTCAACGCCTTAACACACACTGCCTGGTGGCGACCTTACCCAAAGCGTTGGCGTGGCTCGTAGCATTTATCCATAGTGTTCTGCAATCAATGTCCGCAACGCGTAGAGCAACGCGCTTGCTTCACCTGGATGCAACTTCGTGTTGCCCGCTCACGTTCGCCACGCGGAACATCGTGGCTCGCTACGAGAAAAGACGCAACGTGTTTCCATCTAATCGGGCAGTGGCGTTCAATCATTGTATACATGCAGTGAGTAGGCGATGTTAGCTCATGTTTGGCGTACAATCAGTTGCGCTCTTCTAGCTGTCACATTGCTTGCTATGGTACCGCTCTCATCATTAACTCCTACAGCTACCACATGCATGTCCACAAGGGCATGTTTGTTCAATAAGCACTCTTTAATCATCGTCGTTAGTCGTCGGGATGGCGTTGTATCGTTAGGGGTCAATGTGGACGCATTTACTACGAATGGTGCCTAAATGGTGCGACAAACAGTGGTCCCTAAACTTCTGTAAGAAGACGTATTATTTTCGTCTTAAACCGAATCCTTAGACGGTGAAAAATAAACCACGTTTTCTTGGCTTTTGTCTCACCCCTGTTTCGTATTCTCTCGTTCTTCGTTTCCATATAATTTACTCTTTCTGTCTTGCTCTTTGTTTTTATATCTCTTTTAGGTGTGTATTTACTTCGATTTCTTCGTCTCTATTTCTTTCAATGTCTTTATATAATTTTGTGTCTTCACTTTCTTCATTCCTGCTTACTTATCGCTTTTTTTCTGTATTTTTCTGTGTCTCTCTTTATTTTTCTCTTGCTCTCGTTATCTTTCCAATCCTGGTTATTGCATTAACGCCGGAAAAACTGGCGCACTCGTTCCGACAGCGCAGCACAAGGGAAAGAAGAGGATGGCGAAAGTGAGAGATGATTGGGTCACTGCACGTATGTTAGTCAGATTTTTACACGACCAACAGAGATTTCCCTTGCGGAAAATTTAGGCTTCGTTTTTACTTGGTAGTAAGGCATCCACATTTCTGCAACCGAGTTTTTTTTTGGTTCACTGAACAATAAACGACATGCTTGACAGGTTTTCTCTTAAAGGTACAGCCAATAAAGTTTTAAGAAGAGCGTGGTAAGTATGTCACACGCAAATTGGCCCAATAAAGAAGGTATGCAGAGTGAAAATCCTTCTTGTCTGTGTATTTATAAACCAAACGTGTGGTGGAAAAATTACCTAAATAAGCCTTAGTAACTCGCCCAATATTCTGTCTAGTTTTTCCTCTTGTCTGAATCTTGTTTCTTCTCACTTTGTTCATGACTAATCACAATCTAGCTGCTGCTAGTGATGTTGAATATTGTTTCTAATAACGTAGCATGGGCTAGCAGCTGGTAGAGATGTTGAAATCATCCAAAGCTGATCGGCTCAATTTGACTAAAGGTGATCGTTCAGTCAGTGCAATGTAGCGGTGAGTTTGCCAGGCAGAAGGTATATGTTCTCATATTGCTTTTTTGGTCTACTCTAAATGCATATCTTTTGGGCTACACAACCACGAACAGGTCTTCGTCGCTAGAAGTGTTTCAGAGATTTAAATGCTCATTTTGTTACATGCCTAGGCAAGTAGAGTGTGGTGAAAACTAGTCACCCCTTCATCATTCATTACTTTTCTCCTCCCCTTTCTCTTCCCCGGAGTAGTATCGCAGGCTAGAGTGTAATATCATTCGGCCATTCTCCTTGCCTTTCTACCAACAAGTCTCTCTCTTACTTTCTCTAGCGGACATATTTCGGAAAACACAGTTGACATGCCTTACAAATATACGTGTTCTTTTGAGTACACCATATGAAATTTCTAACGGCCCCATGCAGCCAACCTTACTGATTTAGCAGTAGAAATATAATTTCGAGGTCATGGCCGGTGACAATAATCTGAAGGGACACTAAAAGCGCAAAACGAATATTTTTAGTAAAGTACAACTTAACAATTCAGAAACCCCGTTGTTAACACGACCCGACGCTTACTAAGCGAGAAATTGCGTAAAAAAATGCTGATGGATCTTTATTCCCACACCGTCACGTAAGAAGGTTCTACTTATCTTCCAAAATATAAAAATGAAGTACATTGTAATATGTGTTTGCAGTAGCGTTAGTGCAGAAAAAGAGAGCTTTATATTCTAGAACACTTCTACGGAGCCTTAGTGCAAAAAGTCTAAGCAAAATTCGTCGAGCGAATGTGACGAAAATATCCGAAAAACCTTCTGAAATTTATCATGTTACGCGCAGATTTTTGAAGTAAAAGTTAAGCATGAAACTTCAACCTTCTATTTTATCCGCTAAAATGCAACTTATGATGAAACCTGGATCACTCGAGTTCTCAAAGTACAGTTTGTAAATTTTAAGTAAGTCTTTGTTCTTCTTGAGTGCCGCAATAGGAATCATGCCTTGACTACATTAAAAGGAAATAGAAATTCAACGATGAAGCATTCTTAAATTTTAATATAGAGGGCGTGCAGCGAAATTTAAACAGTAGGGCGAAACAAACACGATTACAGTGTCAGCAACGTTTTCATGTTTCTCTCCTTCGTTCGTCTGTTGATATTCAGCTGCAAACACTAGATGTGCAAGAACACCAAATAGCTCTAATCCGTACCATTCAACATTCTGGCCAGGATCTCCTTCCGAGAGTCAAGAATGAGTTTTCATGAAAATTGATTGCGTAAGAGCAAATCTATCTTTAAGCACTACCTTTTTTTAGGGTGGAGCACATCAAGGGTGTCGGGCTGTCGTATGCTGCCGTCGTCACTTGGCATGACGCTCCATGTTTAGCACATTGAACATGTGCTCTCGACACCTACAAATATGCTTCTTCGTGTTCTTCGGGTGCCTTGATGATGATGATCATCATCATAAACAAGAAAAAACAACAATTGGCGCGTTTGGCATAACACCTGCATAACAACGTATAGCAATAGAATAAAAAGAGGAAGCAAGCCTGAAACAGAAAAAAACCAGCAAATAATAGAAGAGATACTAAAACGATATAGAGCAAAAAAATAGGAAAAAAATACACAGAGAGCAACTGGTAGACATAAGGGAAATAATAGAAAGCAATTAGAAAAACAAGAAAGAGATAAATAAATAAAGGCAGAGCAAGAAATATTCAGATATGAAAAAAACACTGAAAAACGGGGAAAAGAAGAACAAGTGAGATAGAGTGGAAAAAAGAAAAGAAAACCGAAGAAAAACAAGGAAGGCTGCCGAGCTCCGTGCATCGTTCAGGCTTGGCACCAAGAAGGCGAAATTTACCCAATTTTAATACTGAAGTATTGGTAGAGCAAACTAACCGGACGCCAAAAGAGGAGACAAAAAGGTGCAGTTTTTCTGCGCTTGTTCTTCTCCTCCTTTTGCATCCCATTAGTTGGCGCTGCCAATACATCAGCATGAATTGGTACCAACAAGCCCGCTTTTCAACCTTTATACCTTAAGTTTCTTTTTAAATTTATACTACTGAAGATGCTCTATTTAAAAGCAGTTCTTGTTAGCTGTCACTTCAGTTGAAGTAGGCTAATTGCCTCGCCAAATTAGTAACAGTCTAGTGGCACTGGGAAGTCCTTTTTATGACACTGCCCTTTTTTTCACCCTAATAGCGTGGAGTTTTACAGGAATTGTATAGTTAAAGTTTAGATTGTGTGACGCAACAACAAAAACCGATAAATATGCATAAAAATGATTAGTGAAATAGATTGGCAGTGATGAAAACGCTTGTTGCACAAACTGGCATAGAAAAGATTACTAACCTCCGAGGGAAATTTTTTGAGACTGTTCAAAACAATTGTGGACTTCTGAGTCAGCTTTGCGTATTTATGACCAAAATTCGTAGTTTTCAATGTCGCTACATGTGGTATGGAAAAAAAATAACATACTACTTCATTCGCCTGGGGTTGTTTCTCAATATCATTTCTTCAATTTTAGGCATTGTGAATCGCAAATCAATATTATATGGTGTTCTACGTTCTAAAACCACGATTTGATTAAGAGAGGACATAGCTGCGGAGGGCGAAAGAAAATTCAACCATGTGGTATTCCTTAACTTGCACTGACATCACACAGTAGAAGAGCCTTTACCATTTCGCCTCCATCAAAACGTGACCTCCGCGACCGGAATGGAACTTGTGACCTTTGGCCGGTATATATGCACTAAACCATGTAGCGGTGAGTGTTTAGGCGCTGTAGAATGTCCAGTGGTGCCCAAGTTAGCCTTGTCAACAAGCAGGACAGCTGAACTTTTGCGACAGGGAGCTGCGTACAATTTACCCTTTATGTCTCACCATTTCTTAGGCTTTCGATCTAGCATGGCCGATGATTCTTTTACATACTTATGAAAAAATGGTTATGCATGAAGGGTAGAAGATTGTGCCCAGCAGAAGAAGACAAAACGATCGAAACATTTATGAAAGTCAAGCGAGAGTAGCCGAATTGTGGTAGTGAACGCTATGATAGCCTTGTTTTTAATACGGTCCCTCGAAGTATCAAACATTTTTGCCCATTAGTTCAGGTCGGTACGTTGCTTGCAAGAGAACTGAGAGCACCACGTGAAATCCATAACGAGAGTTTGCAATTCAACTAGAACTTGCTATATCAATTTATGTATAGTGGCAATCGCTTAGAGGGTATACTAACAGTCAAACAAACGCATAATCAATACTATGGCATTGTTACTTCGTCACCATGCAAGGGCTAGACATCCATGAATACGCATAGATATGTGCTTCTGTGCTTCTTTGTGTGTTAGCAATTAGCAGTCATGAGGTTAGCTCGTAGAAGAAATTTAGCTTGTAGGAATAAGAAGTTTATAGGTATACCTATAACACTCCTATATGCTACAATAGAACTTAGATTTAACGAAGGCACCGGAACCCGTGAATTTTTCCACTAATATCAGAACTTCATAAAATCGGGAACGGAGTTTTTCGGTCCTTAAATTCTTAAGATTGTATAGCAGAAACTCACAAAAGCCTCCACGTCATTGTTTTTGCCATTTATTGTCAAAAATTGCGCTGCTGGGAGTTAGAGTGCGCCTCTGGCACCTTCACCTCACCTGTGTTTTTGCTATCTGGTGGAACTGACGCAAAAGCCACGAAAGAAATGCGCAATCTGTGTTTTCGCGGACTTTCAATTCGTAGTTTCACGAAAATCAAACAAAAATGTCTTTGCAGCCTACACTCGCCGCACACTCCTGACATTCTAGAAGCCATGAATTTTGACAAAAGCTCTCTCCCTCTCTCTATGCACCTATTCCTTTTGTCGGTGCGCTTCGTTAAACTGGGTTCTCCATTGAAGTTTGTCCCGTTATTTCAAGTTTGTGAAAACATTAGCCTAAAGAAAAATTGAGCTGAGGACTTGAAGTATTTCGGTAAGTCGGAAAATCTGTAAAAAAAGGAAACATGTTATGTGAACTTGCGTTTCAGCTGTAATACTAATCATAGTTGAAAACAAAAGCAGATATGCACGCCTTGTAAGAGTTCGAAAGGTAAAAATAAATGGCTTTGTTAAAGTAGTTTTGAGGCCAGATCAGGCCCACAGCCAGAATATCTTTCTGTTGAAGGCCTTGAAAAACACATTTTTTATTATTTTCTTAGTAAAATACTCTGCTCTATCTGAATTTTGAGGGTTAAAAAGGCTAGCCACTGTTCGACCCCCACCCGCCAACCTCTGGCTCTGGGCCTGGTCTGGTTCGTCACAGCATAACACTGCTTTTTTTTTTAGTTTCTTCGAAATAACTCATACATTCACTTTCTCTTACAGAGAACCAATATCTGCTCATGCGGGGCGCTTCACCTGTGACAAGGAATTGTTAGACTACTCGGATCTCGACGTGAAGCTTGTTATGTGTCTCTGGTATATTCCTCAGAAAATTTGCAGTCCTGTTGGCATTTACGTAAATGTTACGGTGCCCCAGTATGACGACGGAACATTTGAAGAAAGACGAATCAAGTTGAATTTTAATAACAAAAATACGATTGTAAGAAGAACACCGAAGACAATTAGAAAGACCATGATTAAAGGCCTCAAAAAGTTCGCTGAGGTAAGACACACAGAGGCACGCTAATTATGTTTTTGTTACATGGCAGGCCACTCTCAGATTGGTTGAAGGTTTCTGATGCATGCGTCACAGATATTAAACATAATTTTTCAATCAGACATCTCGAATTTTGAACGAGTCAAGGTGGCCCGCATTGTAAGCGCTATTAGGAAGCACTTATTAATTTTGTGGGTGACATTGTTATCCTAAGCTGCGTTCCTGCAAAACTTGATGGTCTATTTTACTGAATGAGAAGTCCGTGTACAATCGAATAAGAAGTGCGTGCACTCCCTGTTTAATACGGCAACTGTTTTCAAAGGATGACAAGTAATGGTCAGCGTATCCTTTTTAAGTATTGAAGTACTTCAATAAGTTCGTGTGGCAAGGTTGGTATGAGTTCCGCCTAGTATTTTAAATAAAATCACCATAGCACAATATTCAAACAAGATGTAATTTGTTGTGTATGATTATTAGTTTACCGAGTGAAGTATTAAGAGCGAAGTATTCCAATGCTAAACATAGCTCAATGCATGCATGAGTTGCATTTGCGTCCCTGTGGAACCCATTGAGAAGGCAATATTTGAGTATTTCGTATCAGTTCTACAGTATTCTAAGCTAGGAATAACAAACCCTATGCACGCCTGAGCAGGCAGATGTTCGCGAAAAAATTATATAATAATGCTTGTTGAATGCACTTTTTAAGCATTTGAATAGCGTGCGACACCCACCCGCAATATGCATTAGCCAGCTTAGCACATGGCTATCTTATTCAAAACTTTTTTGAAACATCCTATTTTCGACTTTTTATCGTGGGTCTATGTCGGTTTGCTGAGTTGTTCACGAGAGCATTATTCAAAAACGGAAAAACTTGCGCAAACAGTCACATGTTGATGGGAGCTGTCTTAGCAACATACTGGTTACCAAGGGATTGAAAACGCAGTCAGCAACATCAGGGTGTTAGAGTGAAGAATTTAGGAAGTTCGCAGGGATAAAATAGAGTCAGCTCTCACAGGATAGGGCAAACTGGAGATCACTGGGAGGACTTCGTCCTGCAGTGGACTAACACAGACTGAGAATGATAAGGATTACGATGAGTACATTCAAACGAGCAGAGTGTGCTACTTGAGTGCTATGTCAACTGGGAGGTATTGACTACGCATAGAAAAAATTCTACCACATTCCGTTTATACATATAGAGATGTTTTTTCTGCTAATGCAAAAATGCTGACAATGATACTATGTCATGATGCTGAGCAGCAAGTTAGCCAGCAAAGCAAGAACCTGAATTTTTTTAAAATAATTGATATAGGCTTGCCAACAAGCTTGCGTGGTACGTTTTCATAATGTAAGCTGTTTGCTTCGTGGATGACTTGCCTAATTTCCGCTTTCTTATACCTGCTTACGTGTGGCTTCGCGAACTTGTCTATAAAAGCGGTATGTTTCCGTAAACCTTAGGCTAATATACCCTCTTTTACTGTATTGTCACGTTTTTCTATGTTTATAGGTTAAAAAAACGCGTTTTCTTTTAGGTGTGTCAGTTCACAGTCAACGTGACATTCCATGGCTCGCTTGCGTACGAAACGAATAACCCAACAAATGGAAGACACTTTTTTCCGTTGGTGTGGGCTTGCTGCAGGACAAGGCCAGAGGACTGATCAAAACAAAGCACAACAGACTGCACTACGTTATACGAGGGTGGTTTAAACGAGTTACATTTTGGCAAAGCTCTGCACACGCAAAACAAAATTTACCGGAATAAAGAAATATCACAGGTTTCTTCAGCTTCGTTCTGGTATCTTAGGCAGTTCTCCTGTATGACCTCTTGCACTACCCTCGTTGTCAGTTAATTTTAGTCATATCATTCGTTTTCATCCGTTCTATTCTGCTATATGTTCACTGAGATTGACTATACCAGTCTCGTAGCCTCAAAGTATCTAAACGCATAGCAGCCGTAACAATATTTTCGTTCTGTTCCGTTTTAACTGTTTTATTGTGAACAGGTTGAGGTGCAAATTGCCTCGGCTACTCCATATCAATAAGTTCTTCTGCAAAAAAAAAAAACGAACGAAAAATTCATAGTACCCAAAATCAACAATCGGCAAAGTAGAAAAAGAAAAAGCATGTTATCCCACTGAAACGCATTAAAATACCACGACAATGTACAGTTTTCTTGCAGCATTTCACCCTGCCATAAAACGTTCACAAGCACACCTTTCTACTTCTGCTAAGAGTATATGTGCTAGAACACTATTTCATAGATCACAACACCTAGCTGTATATCACAAGCGCTTATCCAGTGCGGTGTCCGCTAACCAGTCTTTCGAGAAGATGTTCGCCTTTTTCTGGGGGTGCTTCTTAGGCAACGGTCTAAGTAATTTTGTTAATGTGAGAAGCCGTTTTTCTGAACTTGCTAGTACCTCCCTTAATTTTTTTCTTTCAATTGCATGCTTTACGCACTGTAAAAAAAAATATGACCAATGTTATCATCTGCGGGGTCAGAGTGGATTTCCGGTGATCTGGAGTGATGTATTTTGTGCAGGAGAATTATTTCATTTGCATAAAGCCGCAATCTTCATGTGTACAATAAACTGGTACCTGAAACTGTCGCTACGTGTCTTATTTTTTGCTGTGCGAGAATTGACTATAATGATATATCAATATTGCATTACCAACTCATCCACCAGTAAACGCATTAACTTCGATACAACAAGCACGAGTGAATACCAGCACAGCCCCTTTCTTAAGCTGAGATAATTCACAAAAAACGTGTGCACCTGCCACACCTACAAATTCACAAATGTTTTTCCGCAAATTGGAATAAGAAGACGTGTCTTAAAACTCTGTTGCAAGATTACTATCTCAAATACTAAGCAATCAAGTACTCACAAAGAGTTTTTTGCTTCATAGAGGGCCCAAAGCACACAGAAAAACTTGTGTGTATGCAAAGTTGACCGTGAGATGCGCAGTGCAAAAAAGTGAATTAAAATACCAGCAGGGAAAACAGTGAGCAAATCATAAAAGAATTGCTGTGAACCTAACACTAAACAAAAAAAGCGTACCCAAGAATCACGTAGTAACTAGTGAATTGCAAGAGCCACAGCCGACAAAAAGACCTAGAGAAGTTTCTCACGCGCACAAAAAATCCCTTCGTGAGAAAAATGCGTATTGTTTTTATGCTACGAGACTCATAGGAGACCCCAAATGCACACATCCCAGATTGGGTGGCTACGGAGAGCTTTCAATGAGGTATCGCGGCCGCTGATGGTATGAACGGCACCACCAACATCATTATCTTTTTTTTCCGGGCACAAGATTTTCGCGCTACTGAAAAGCATACTTCCTGCAATTAAACCTAGACATTTTTGCCATTCCGTTGGAGTCAAATGGAAGCGTTCAACTTGAAACATGTACGCCTAAAATGGCTTCCTTCTTTCGGTCAATTCTTGCGGCATCGATAGATCGAGAAATAAGCACATATAAAAAGTTCTTCAAGCAGTCACCTAAGTGAGCAGAAATAAATCTGCAAATTCAGCTTTCTAAATTCCCGACTGCATTGTTCCAGAGTAGCACACTGTGCCACACTTCAACTGCAAAGATGTGTCTGAGGTAGCACTTGTTGACGTGAACGCTTGCTCTATAGAAGCGACACTCACCATTTCAGTCGCTTTCAATCCGCAAGACATGAAAGACAGCTCTCTGTATTTTCGCAATCGCTGTCGCCCTTAAGTACGATATGAATTGACTCGGCGGGTCAGGCGCCGTAAAGCAATTAATCTAAGCCTAGCGGGGGAGTAGGTGGCCACGGCGACGGTTATGTTCAGCAGTAGTGCCTCGGAGGCGTCGTCGGCGCGGCACAACAACCGGTGCTGCGCGATTGCTGGCAGCCAGCGACAACTCGTTCGGCATGCCTCGCATCTTTGTTACGACCCAATCGGACCGCAGACATCGCGAATAATGCGGGCGCCTTCTCGACCACTTCGCACTCGATAGCACTACCCGAGGGATCGAAAGGTTGAGGCAATACACCCAGCCGCCTGGATAACGACGACGCAGTGTGTGATGTCCGCGTTTAGGAGAACACGAGAGAAAAAAAAGCGAAATCTCAATATTAAGACTTGAGGCATTTACTACGATTTTTTTAAGCCACCATGATTGTACAGGGCTCAAATATCGATCCGTCTACATGTGCGTTTTATGCTGCCAGCAGCGATCAGAGCTGTGTAGCGTAAATGACATATTGTTATGTGAAGTAAGGTTTGCTGTTCCACGAATGCAGCCAAAGTGCTTGAAAATATTAAATACAAACAAACATAGCTGATCCTTTTTTCCAAGACACCGATGCAAGAAGAAATAAGAACGTGCCTAAACAAAAGCGATTCAGTGTTAATTCTGGGTTGGTGATTGAAAGCTGGCAGAATTTACCTTGGTGTTTGAGTAGTATTGCACCATGCGGTGTGACCACACCTACAATTTCTAGTGGCACATCTCCCTTCCACGACTCATGTAAAAAATAATGGTTCAACCTTTATAGTAGCTGAAGATATAAACAAGAGCTGGCCACAGAGCATAGTGAATCCCACGTGAAGACGACATTGAAAAGCGGATAATCAATATACTCACTAACACTCTAAGGATAAATATAAGCTCCACCCACGAGGCCCCATTTCCCATATTTTTCATGCGTCCGCACTACAAATGAAGCATTTTCCAAACAATGGCAATAATTTTTGCATGTACAAACATTCTATTGCACTACTTCATAGATATTGAAATAAAAAATCCAAAGCTTGGTAAAAAAAAAAAAACTTGTCAAAGTATCACTTTCAGCGTCAGCTCAGCAATATATTTTTTGTTTAAATGGCACCCCCACCGCACTCGCCTCAGAGTATACGTAGAAGCACTGTATAGCTCTCGCAATCGACATTTCTGTGAAGTATCTTTGGTGGTAGTAATTCTAACAATTGCATATTTAGCGTAAAGTTGAAACTAAAGAGATCGTTCCTCTGTTTTTCGTAAACTGAAACGAGGGCATCACTCGAATGCAATAAGACTGTTGTCATTTTTTTACGAAACATTTGCTAACAGATTTGTTTCCTGTGTGCAGTAACTACGGAAGCTATGACTTAAGGCGAAGAAAGTAAGGAACTTAAAACGCAGCAAAAACATAAATGTCAGCATTGCATGACGACCGGCGAGGCATACGCTGAGTGCGAATGAATGAACTAGCAAGCTTTTTCACGAAGAAAACGCCAGAGGAAACCCGAATGGACGCCTGCCCATTCCGGTACAGTGGCACACCGGTTCCCGTCGGAAACGGTGCCCTGTTGAATTGTCAATGGTTCATGGTGACTATTACTTCGTAGTAAAAAGCAGCTGTAGTTGGACGCGCATAATACAAATAGACAGCGGCATACTCCAGCTGTTATTCTTAACTTGTCAATAACTGTAGTACTCGGTTTGCGCTCATGGAAAGTGTCAATTCAGGAGAGGAATGGCGACATGTGCGATCTCCAGCGATTGACTAACCTACACACCTCGTCATGCGTCCTCTACCACAAAACACTTCAATAAAGTAGGAGGCTGAAGTCGTAGCTTGAGCCATGAACGCGTAAGGGCGTTCCGCACTCCACGACATACTTGTTCGTCACTACGACAAAGCACTCGATGAAACTGTATTATAACAAAAGGAAGCGGAAATCGGGGAGCCAGCGCTGAGACTATATTCCTATCGGATCTATTATTATCATAAAACAGTACTTTGCTTTACCTCTCCAAGACTACACCCCTCGCCCCACCACCCAAGAAGGCAGCTGGGATTGGAAGCATCTGTGAAAGATATCAGGCGTGTCTGTAAAGGCTCATGCATAAGAGTCGGTAAAGGCTCATGCATAAAGGCTCATGAAAAGGCTCATGCATAAAATTGCCGCACTCATATCACCGAGAAATTTGAGGTAGTGCGTTCGACTCCCGGGTTATGAAGTGACTGAAAGTGTTGGTTGTGGCTGCTTTTATTTATTCGTGTGCATGTTACGGGCATCTCATTCATGACAACAACGATGTCAATGAAGTCTTGGTCGACACCAGCACAAAACGTTTTCGTGTAAAAACTACTTTCACCGCTAGGTGTCGATCTCGTTGGCTGTAAATCTAGCACTAAATATTAAGAAAGTACATTTATTACCAAAACCATTGTAAACGCGAAAATGATAAATGATGTCAAACGATGAGAATAAGAGAAGCGTCAAATAGGTTACGCAACGCTTCGTCAAAACCGAACTGGTGAGTGCCTAGATGATCTTGGCTAGGCTTTTACCCTTTCACCTCTCTCTTTCACCGCCCTTGCTACACTATACTATGAATGGCCATGCTTGCTCTGTTTTTACACCCCTCCCCCCTTTTTTTAGTCTGTACCTTTTTCAACAACCACTGAGATTTGGCTAGTTGCTAGGGATTTATATTTTCAGCAAATGCCTAAGACACGTAACACTGACTAAGAACAGAGACCAAGCGCAATGATTTCAACCAAGATTTTTATGCGACGCAAAACTAAATATATAGGTGCAGCCAGCGAAGAAATAAGAAAGGTGATACGTGCCTTTTGTGCTTTAAGAAGCTACGTGTGTTCTCATCTCTTCGCCTTAATGTCTATTTCTCTGACTTGATTCCTACTATTTGTCTCTGCCCCTTCTTCCTCTTGTGTACTTTATTTCCTGTCTTTGTAGTCATTCTTTTGCCTTTTGTCTTTATGGCTCATCGACCAAGCAAATCAGCTGTAGAACTCCTGTAGTGCGTATGAAGCACAGAAACTAGGCGAATTCTATTGCGCACTGGAGTGGTAAACCAAACATGCAAGAGAAAAGGGCGGAGAACACCATATTAATGCCATGTGCTTCACCCTCTCTTCTTAACAATATGTATAAGGTGCTTCAGTGGTCACTGAGCTTTTGTAAGTTCATCATAATGATAATTTTTCATGATGACGATAGTTTACGACATGTGGTCAACCCCGAATATAACAGTGCTGCTGTCAAAATCATATTCTGGAAAAAACGTAAAGCCAGGAAACACGCAAAGGAGCATCTTGACGCACATTACATGACGTACCAAACTAAATGCAGTCGATCGCACAAACAGACATAGCTCGTACATATTACACTTGTAAGCAGTGACTTGGAAAAAAAGAATCCAAATTGAATGGATTATATTGATGTAGGCCATTCATTACCTTTACATTGCTTAATAAAATGCGGCTACCGGCATCCGTCCTCGACATTCATCGCACGATGTCATCAGAAGGTGCAAATTTTTCCGCGAACATATTCTGCGTTGGACGTTCCTGTCGTTATTTACAGTGGATGGGCAGTGCACTTTTCCATCTGTTTGCAACGTCGGCAAAACTACAGATGGCTTTATCTTTGTTGAACACTCTATTCAGTCAAGAGTGTACATATCATGTGGTCATGTGTTTAATTTTATTTTGTACGAGGAACATAAAGCTACATTTCAGGTAATTTACGGAACTATATTCCTGGATAGAAATGTCCTCGTAAGGAACTCCGCATTTGCCATGCAATAAGACACTAGGTTTTTTGAAAAATCAGGGGCAAAAAAAACAACAGCTTCTTCGGCAAGCTGATATTCCGTTGTATCAGAGCTCTGGAATCTAATGTGTGAACTTTCATTCATGTGTCTAAATGGGGAGTTTCGTAATTACGTACAACCTTATGATGAAGCTGTAATATAGGATAAAACAAACATCAACCACTCTAGCATGCGCACCAACCTCCATACAGTACATGCGAAAAAGTTATGTCGCACTGTTCGTGGCGCAAATTCTTTTGTCACATTTGCACTCAAAATGAATAGACGTACGTACATCGCCGCATCGCGTGATAGAAAAAAAAACGTCTTAATCATAGACGGTTGTAGGTAACTACAAACAGTTTCTGTGCAGCTTTTTTGTTTTTGTTGGGGGGAAGGGATGTGTAACGTGTTTGACCGGATCATGAAGCAGGTTTTTATGGCTCTGGTGTTCCCTATAGCACCTGAAAAATAGTATATAAAGCACCAAGAGAAAGAGGCACTAAAAGCACCCGAGTTCAGGTTGCCGAAAGTAGCGCGAGAAACGATTAAAATAAATAGTTTAAAAGCAAATGCACCACAAAGTAATGCTGTCAACAAGTACAAACCTGCCACGCGTCAAGTACTGCTTATGGCGTACAGGCTCATTTAACTTGTAGAATGGACGCAGACTGTACTTCACCGGCATTCAATAAAGTCTACAGAAATACATAGACTTTCGCCATTGGAAAAATAAAACAAATTGGGTAAAAAGTACAGGAAAAGCGCGAGTTGTGGTAACGTGTGTTCAAGAGCAAAAGCAGGCAAAATAGTAGCGGTTGGAAAGCAGTATTCTGCACGTTGGGAGGTTGTTCATTTTAAAAAGATAAAAGCGTCTGAAATGTTTTTTGCTGTCGCTGAATGTTCGGAATATTGCACCGTATCTAAATATATCTATTACTGAACAGTGCCCCCCTTTCTGGAAAGGGCAGTGGCCCAGCTGTATATCTTAATACCACTGTTTTCTTGCAACCCCTTCTATTTGCTATTGCTGCTCCAAATGAATTGGCCTCGCCGGCATCCGGTAGTGCTGTCGACACACTCTTACGGAAGTCCCTCAAGCCCTTGATTGTCCACGGCTATCTGCATATACTTCATTCAGCCGGCATTGGTGCAGTTGTTCGAGGCAGCTTGTTAGCATTGCTGGAAGTTTTCAATGTCGCAGTCTCTCAAGATTCATCACAAAGAAGTTTGGAGAACAGCGCTTGCCGTAAAGGCTGAACAACCGCGTGCAGAGATGACAAGTATGTATCACTGATTTTTGAAATGGTCCAACACATAACTTATGCCGTGCATACGTGACAGTCGAAAAAAAGCCACATCACGTGTTGCGACAGTGCTTGAGAGTTCATTTTCTTTTTCTTCTTTAAAAATAACGTGACTAGGGTGCTGATTTTGCGATATAACTGTGTTAGTTTAGTTCCGCATTGTTAGCAGCGCAGATGCGCTAGCGTGTTTACGTTGTCAACGTTGGCGTCGTCCTGCTGACTCGAAAGCTTCCCATGAGCGACGCTGACGAGAAGTGATAGTATTCGTTCTTACTGGCTAGTTTGTAAAGATCGAGCGACCCTTTGGGACTCGCCATCAAGACGCGAGACTAAGCAAGTGGTGTTTATATCGGTTAACAAGCCGTGAGCGTCACCATAGGGCAATGCCCCTTGAATGAAAACAAGTTCACGGCTGCTTGCTGCGCCATCACATCGAAACCAGTCTTCTTCCTGCAGACCTGATTATTTCAGTACTTTTGTGACTGCATACGCGCCAATTCAAAGTCGAGCAGTGACTGAATAAGGCAAAGTGTTAATTTTTAGGCCAAAGAGAAAATAAGTGACTCACAAACTCGAACTCAAACTATATTAGATTCCAATTTATAAATAAATGCAGGCACCTGACACAGTCGGTTGCAGTCCTACACAAATTCCTTCACTAAGTTCCGTGACGCCAAGTACCTTTTTTGTCATAGCCAGACTGGCTGAACGTCCGCACGCCTATCCAGTCAAGCCATGTTTTCACACATTTAAGGTACGTAATTTGGTCATACAAACACACGCTCATGTCGATGCTTTCGGTCGAAATTTCCAACTTTCTGGCACACTTGAGATAGGCAAACCTGTCCACCTATAGAATAGTACTACGTTACACTGTATTAATCTTGTGTTTTTTGTTCTAGTTAACTAATTCATTACTTGCAATTTTTGTTTAAGGTTAGTACATACAAGAAATTTTCGTTCACTGTGTTCTCCAGAGCTTTAGACAAGTGCAGAGGAATGATCTATTAACATGCGTTGTGAGAACTATGTAAACAGACGTCCTTCTCATTTTGCAATTTTTCAGAAAGATAATTGTTTTCCCTCAGTGAATTAAGTGATCATAAATGAGCGAAAAATTGTGGTGTAGGGTATTGTCTAGAAGTAATTGTTACCAATATTCAACCATGTCCGGCTATTGATTATTGTGATATCAACTTTAGCACTGATAATACCAGGTTGTTCAGAAACTCTTTGCACTCAGATTGAGCACCGTCACTTGGCAGATGAAATTTTATTTTGCCCGGAGTAATGAGACGCCTGAAGAATGCTTTCGTGAGAACAATGTGATCAAATTGTAGGTGTAAGAATTGTGTCTAACGTCTCCCTATACATGGCGACGGGTGTGGATTGTGAGAATCGGCTTTTAAGTTTGAATGAAATATTTATCATTTGTCACTGTGTTGTGAGGCGTCCCCTGAACAGTGCTCACGACATTATTTAAATGCTCAGCTGTCCATGTCTATTAAAGAGGGGCAGAATATTTGTACATCTTTGCTAAGACATTGACATGTAATCGTGGCACTGCAAGTTTATGCTGTGCCTTCGTAAACATGTAATTGCTGCGAATATCATGGTGAGATTAAAATTATTTTGAATTTAAACGTCCCCTCATTAAAGTAAACACCCTGTTAATTACGCTTCACCCGCTTAGTAGCAAAGAAACCTGGAGGTCACCCACACAATGGAGAGCTTGAAAGCTGTCTGGGAAATGTTTTGTGAACTGAGGACATTAATTGCAATTATAAGAGTTAAAGTAAGGTGTTCATTCAGTGTTTGCTCTGAGCCTTCGTGGTGCTGTTTACTCGGGGATAAAATAAATTTTCAGGGGAAAACCCGTTAGTCAGCGCCCACAACCAAACTGAAGTGCTTTGTTCCTAGCAGAAAACATTTCTATTCGCTCTCCGCATTAACAAACTTGTGCTATAAATACTGCAGCGTTTCATGTTGAAGTATAGACCACTGAAGAGGACACCCAATATACAGCTATTTTATCAGCTGCTTTCATGGAACTTAATTTGCAAATCATGTGTTCTGCCGCGCTTTTGTTTTTCATGCGCGTCAGTGATATCTCGCTGTATCCTGTATGGTATCAGGTCATTAAAAGAAGAGAAAATTCATTTATTAAAGCTTCGTGCTCTGCGCCATGTTTCAGAGTGGTGTCGGAGGCAACTCGTAACATTGTAAACATCAAAGGCGGGATGACACAGACTGTCATCCCGATATGGGACTGAGGGTTAGAGCCATAATAGCTCTCAGCAGCCAGTCAATGCCGGGACAGCAAATACGGCGAAAAACAACCGAGAGGATTGGTAAATAGTTAACAAAACTAACGCGCGACTTTGGCCAGATTCCGATTGGTCATCAGGGTGGGCCGCAAAGAGGGTGACGTCGCGACGAGGGCGCAGCGAATCCACTCCCCACGCCTATGTGACGTCACGCATCGAGCGGTCGCTCTATGCCGCGATCGAGGCGCGCGCTCCGGGATAAAAACTCCGAGGAAAGCCGGGGGAGTCGCGCAAAAGTGCGTGCCCGCCGCGAGACAGTGTTCCACGCTGCACGGAGAGACCGGGAACCCACACGCCACCGCCAGTGCCCACTGAGCTCTGCATCAGCAACAGGTGCGTCGCTCATCTATTCTTGACCAGTCGGTCATGCATTTGTAAACGCTTCCAGTGTTCTATACCTACATACTGTCACTGAGCATGATGAACATGTCAAGAAAAAAAAATACGATTTAGATAGAGGTAACTGCAAGGCAGCAGTTAGTCTTGAAAATGAAAAGCATTAACTAGGAGTACAAAAAAGAAAAAAAAACAAAAAGAAAAAGTTTGCAGAGATAATGGGTCGATAATAAACCCTTGTACTTTAGAAAAAGCGTGCAGAATTTGTTAGACCTTGAAAGATCATCGTACAAAATACTTGTTAAAATATGTGGTAGCGCTGTTGGCACAATACAAAATGAGAAATAAGAATTCAATACAATAGCGGTCACTTCTATCCAAGATGCCATTGTTTCTGTTACGTAACACTAATGCGTATTAGTGTTTAGAAAAATTAACCGATGAATTACTGAAACTCAGTCTTTCACGCCAATCAATCTTAATTTTTATAATTGACTTATTCACTCGAGCCAGCAAACTTTTCCGTCATGACCTTGCCTCAATTAGAGCTATTCACACATAGCAATTTATTGTGCATTGCCTTGCTGCGTATTGTATTGCAAAAGTCTTACCCAATACCTAAATTCTCTGCTGCTGCGCTGCTTTTGAAAAGCATCAAAACCACGAACAAAGCAGTACGAATGAGGCGCTCCTAAAAAAGACCCCATTGCAGTTGTGATTAAGTAGCATCTCGTGGTGCATTGTAGAGAAAATAAAACCAAAAAACATACTGGTGCGTTTATTCATAGCTTCGGTGATACAGGTTTGTGTTCTATCAGCTGCGTATTTCTGTTTTGTAAAAAAAAAAACACGTTCAGCTAATGTTTCCAATGCCGCTTAGCAACGCTTCAATATGTGTTAGTGAGCAATGTAATGTAGTCGTGCTGAGCGAAAGGCGCGAAGGAGGGATGAAACAAAAGGGCGGTTTCTAATTCTGGCACACCCGATGCGAATTCGTAGAACAATTTGTAGAACAATTTGTAGTTGGAATCTATCTAATGAAACGGAAAGGCAAACAACTCAGTGATATGCCAAGCGTTTGTCCGGCGTAACATACAGAACATGCGACCTGGGCTCGAGATGGAAAACAAACAAAGTGTACTCAGGCTTGCCTGGCCAAACTTGTGCATTCATTAGACCACCATGTCCCACAGCCATAGGTGTGCACATAATTGCTTCTGTCAAGTGCACATGCTACAACGGTAATCCCCTGCTGCGAAGCTTGCGTCGTGACTAATATTTGCGGTAACCGCAATCTCTGACAGGGGACAAGAGAAGCATTTTTAGTGGATAGTCATTGGCGGGTAAAAACAAACGGGCAATCAATAAATCCCAAAAATACCGACACCCATTCACCTTTCCAAGTGGTCCGACTGCATGCAATCGACTACGCCCGAGTTGGTAAATGGTAATGCGATTTCATCGTGACACGACGAGAATTTGTTTCACAAGGACTACTATTCTTGCACACTCCAAAGGCAGATGACGGCGAAGCTATAAAAATAAATATATTGGCAGTAAAACTAATGTCAGTAGGGTTCAGTTTCTCGACGTAGATGAAGAGCTCCCGTTTGTAGTTTTACGCGAAAAGGACGTTTTTAAGCATGCTCTTCAAACACTAGATAAACTCATTCTCCGTAGATACAGTGTTACGACTTGGAAGAGGTATAACCCTAGTTTTTCTTGGTACTTCGAAGCCACTGCCATAATTCATGGAGTATGTGAAACACAGGAAAGAATATTATTTGAGCAACAAAATTGGCGCATGCTTGAGCTACACCTTCAAGAGTAGGTCATGAAGACGTAATCAGGCTTCGTGCACATTGAATTCGGAACTGCTAACCTGCTTCAGTTCTCGGTGCATGCCTGCATCATGTCGTAAGGAAATAAACGACTGTGCGCGTTAGACACCGGCTGTTTCAAAGCATCATCGAATGCCTACTGCGCACATTTGCTTAGTGCGCACAGCGCCATACATACATTTTTGTTCGAATCACCTGAAGGGTCCACTACACGTCCGTAGAGCAACACGTGAGTCTACTCAGCTTGTGAATTTGTCGATGGTTGTAGTGGTTGTGATGTAATAATATGTTTGAGCGCTTTGTTGTCGGGGCACCTTGCAAACACACACTCGTTATTGCATTCACATCTTTCGACGCCTGGCGTGGTTTTACGCTTCTGCTGCGCAATATATATTGCGTTAAGGAAATGCCTTGGGGTACATGACCGCCATAAAGTTCTTAGAGCGAAAATTTACTTTGCGTACTTTTTTACTTTTTTCAACTTTTTCTGCCAAATCAACATCAGGATTGTGAGGCACGTCCTAAAAGAAAAGCACACGAGTGTTCTATGCATCTGGACCGAATCGCAGTGTGGTATCTATAGAGTATTTTACGGACGGCTTTGAGTGCCGCCTCATTGAGCTGTTAAACTTTCTGTTTTGTATTTCTAACGACTAAACGTACAGAGTTATAGTATACGCATACACTCGAAAACGAATAATTTCGTGCATACAATATGCCTGGCCTTATTAATTCACGTCACAATATACATAAGCTAGAAACTTTTAGCTTAACAGCCCAAGATGGCGGCAGCAACTTGTCTTATGATTGGTTGATATGTGGGGTTTAACGTCCCAAAATCACCACAAGATTGTGAGAGATGCCGTAGTGGAGGGCTCCGGAATTTACACCACCTAGGTTTCTTTAACCTGCGCCCAAATCTGAGCACACGGGCCTACAGCATTTCCGCCTTCATCGAAAATTCAGCCGTCGCAGCCGGGATTCAATCCCTCGACCTGTGGGTCAGCAGAAGAGTACCTTAGCCAATATACCACGGCGGCGGGGCGCCAACTTGTCTTAAGTAAAATAGTTTATATAGGCTGGGAATCGAGCCCGTTGACTCGTGGTTTCCAGCGCGACATCATACGCGCTATGCTATACGACTGGGGATATCCCTGCCTGATAACACTCATACCATGACAACACATGTAACAGTGTAAAAACTATACAATTGTGTTCAAGGTGTTACTTGTGTGTAAGCTCAAATCAGGCAAAACGTCACGAGATTGTGGAAAAATAAAAAGATGAAAAACCACCAAAACGAGTCTTCGATAGAGGGAATGGTTCGAGAAGCGGTCGAGTCTTCGTTAAGGCAGCAAGTGTCCTCCATAGCACGGCTGCGTGCCTCCTTTCTACACCTTCTCCCATTCAAAACAGAAGAGGGCAAGGGTGATAACAAGTGTAAGGGAGACATGAGAAAAGGCGTGTCGAATGGGGCCGATAAAATACAAAAAGATTCATTACTCAAATCCTATACAGATACAAAATACCCTTCAAAGAATGAATAACGTTAATGCAGTGAACATTTTCCGATATGTATTTCTTTGAAACCAAGACCATTGTTGAGGACAGCGTGGATATTTATTTGCCTAATTTGTAAATGACTACTGTAATTACTTGCTTTTTGAAAGTAGGGAATTGTGTTTAGAAGAGTGCTAGAGCTTTCCTTGACGGTATACTGCGTGCAGTGCTTGTAAGGCACATATCTTACCGCTTCATTTATGAGCCATTTATTTTTCATGATGTACATTTTATCAAGTACGAATTGAAAGTATCACTGGCATCAACGAGGTTTTTATGTGCGCTGCTTATACGCAACCTAGGAGCAGCTGCCGCTCTAAAACATTTCTTTTGTAGTGCACTGGTGTAAAGTTGTACTGAATTCTTCTGCACTTATGATTCAAAAGATCTTCACAAGTAGGTCAGCGCCTGTCAGAAAGTTCTATTTTAAAACCAAACATATTTTTCGTACGACTGCTGTTCTCAGCTTCGCAACTTGCCTTGTAAATTGTCCCAGTGATTGACAATCCGCTTTCTGTCACCTATTTGAGTGACGTAGAGGTCGTTGGGATTTGGTCAGAACTACACGCCCGCGAGTGTGAGTTTCTGCTATTTTGCGAATAACCTCGTTTCACTTCTGAAGATCGAAGAACTTTCCGCTTTCTATTGCTGAAAGCTCCCGCTTGTCAACGAGCGTCAGAATGCATGCCATTATAACGTGTACTGTGACATTCAGAACGTGAATTTTCGACGTGCTGGTATTTTACATTTTGTAGCAGTAACTTGAACACTATTCTTCAATGGTGTTGTTGTAACAAAGGATGGACTCAATCAAGGTAAAAATAGCTAAAAAAAGGTCAAAGTTATAACTTTTTGATTCTACGAGCTTTCCCTTGTGAGTGTAACATAACTTTTTTTTGTTATGGAAGACATTCCTAAGTTTTCTGTGGACGTACATTCTTCATGGATTCAATGTTCTTTCTAACATTTGTAATGTTACTTCCATTTTCTTATTACGGAGCTGCACCTATTTGTCGTTGACATGACTAAAATGAATGAAGCCTGCTGATGGCAACAACACGCTGGAAAGACTTCAGTCAACGTTAGAGGTTGGAAAATGTAAACACTTCGGGAAAGCTGTGAACACGAAATATATTCAGCATTTCCGTATCTTATTTGAAGCTTTTACACTGTAAGCACCGTCTGTTTCTGTGCCTCGAACTTTTCATTTTATCCTGTAACGGTTGTATGCTATCTTGAATCTAAAGTTGATAATTCTGCGAAGGCGAGTGGGCAGTAATATGCAGGAGCTATGGTTTTTCTCCAAAGCATCAGCATGTTTTCTCATCACTTCCTTAGAATTCAAGCATAAGTAGTACGGTAAGTTTGCATTCGTTCTCTTTTCATTTTTTGCTGCCTCTGTTCTTTACAGTTAATACTTGAGAAAGTTTTTAATGGAAACTCATCATCAGCACTGATCCATGTTTAGTTTCAGCCTCTAAGCTTCGTCTTCACGTAGCTTAAAATTGAAAATAAAAAGCAAACACTTCGGCAAAGACGTGTGGTATAGGAAGTTCATAGATTTGATGACACGCGAAACATTTTTCATTTCCGATC